ACTACGAACATTTACTACATTCCGGGGGCGGACAACGTCGTAGCCGCCGGATTGTCACGTGTCGACGCACTCCGTCTGCCCGTTGAAATCAGTTTGAAAGAAATCTCCGAGAATCAGGAAACGGACGAGCAACTAAAGCAATTATGCCAATCCACCGATGTCTCGATCAAATTAAAGAAACTACTGTTCGGTTCGGACAATATACCGATATTTTGTGAAATATCTGGTGAGACGAACCGCCCATACATTCCCGCGACGTTGCGAAGGACAGTTTTTGATACTGTACATAATCTGGCCCATCTGAGTGCCAGGGTTTCCGACAGATTAATTAGACAGCGGTACATTTGGCCCAACATTCACCGGGATGTTGCTCGGTGGTGCAAGCAGTGCATTAAATGTCAGCGAGCTAAAGTCTCACGGCATACTAGCCACTTGCCCGAGCACTTTGTTGCCCCGGATGGTCGATTCGACCATGTCCATTTGGACATTGTTGGCCCGCTGCCCGTGTCGGACGGGTACAGTTATTGTTTAACGGTCATTGACCGATTCTCCCGTTGGGTAGAGGCTGCTCCTTTGCGGGACACTTCGGCGCAGTCGGTGGCAAGAGCGTTCTTCGAAACGTGGGTGTCGCGCTACGGAGCTCCCAAGGAGTCCGGACCTCACCCTACCATCCGGCATCCAATGGACTAATAGAACGGTGGCATCGAGCTCTGAAAGCATCGATAATGTGCCACGCGACTAAGGATTGGACACGTGTACTACCATCGGTTCTGTTAAGACTGCGTTCGCATGTCCGAGTCGATGTTGGAGCCTCTCCGGCCGATACTACGCCCGATCCGAATGTCTTCCTCGAGGAATTTAAGAAATACATGCAACGAGTGCGCCCCATTCCCGTCGTTCACAAAAATCTTAAACGGTCATTTGTATTCAAAGAACTAAGTTCGTGCTCGCACGTTTTTCTGCGGCACATGGCCAAAAGGGCGTTGGAACCGCCCTATTCGGGACCACATAAAGTGGTCAAACGCAACTCCGAGAGAGTTTACCAGATCGACGTGAATGGGACGGTGCGCACCGTTTCCACCGAACTTCTCAAACCGGCGTTCCTCCTCGAGGAAGACATCTAGTGTGAATCCGGTCACAGCTAAGCGGCCATCTACCCCCAGTCCAACCACTGTCAAGGAGAGGGGCCAAGGAAAAATCCGCACGTGCCATTGAGCCGTTTGCAATGGACAAGTTCTTTAGCCGCTAGCGAAATTCTGGTTTTACCCTCCTTTCGCTAGCGCCCACGGGGAACCACGGGGAGGCGAACTCGTGACGCGACGCCTCGCGTCCACTAAGCGAAGCCTCGAGGAAGACACAGCGCAGAATTCCACCACCTCTCATGGGTGTGTGGGAGACCCTGGTCCGGCGACCAGGACTTACTCACGCAGAGTGAGATTCGCGCCGACCACCAAAATGTAAATTTCAATGTATATAGTAGTCCATAAGTTAATTATAAGCGTTCGGGACATTGTCCCGGTAGAATTAGTACGCCATAAGATGTAAAAAAATTTTTTATATTTTTTGTTAATAAAATGAGTACGTTCACACTCGGGGGGAGTCTGTGGGGACGTGGTTCCCCCACTCCGACCGCCTGCGCATGGCGCAGGCGCGGCGGCTTTCTGGCCGCCATCACGAGGAGCACACTTTCCTCCTCGTGGCTCTCCGTCTCTGAACCTCGAAGTGTGCACACGTATAGTAGGGAACCTAGAGTATTTAATTTCACACTGAACCCTACAATAGCCTCACTGACGAGTCCTCTAGCGGACCCCGGACGAAACATCTCCCTCTCCTTTTCTCCCAAATACCGTCACATCAGCCACCATCAAAGATAACAATGCCAGATACGATTTTTGATTTCTTGTAGCCATCATGAAATTCTTATAGAGCTTCACTCTCTGATCAAAAATCCGAAAACCGAATTATTCCATCTTCCTCAGTTTCGGGAAAAACGAGCTTTTGTAAAAACCCATAATTTCTGACAAAAATGAGGTATTGAAAGTTCTAATCTGTCTCAAAAGCTAGAGAAGAGTTTCCCAAATATAATGGCATACAATTTATTAATTGTTTTCGATCCTAAAAAGCTATGCATTAATCTGATTAAAATGAGACCAAACATGATATAGTTTGGATAAATATTTCTGATTAAAATAAAATCAAACACACAATATAATTTTGATTACATTTATTTATTAAATATTTATTGTGAAAAATTGTATTCTATATTGAATTATTTTGTCACGTATCATCTTTGGAATAGTGTAGTATCGTAACCTGCAGTGATGGTTTTTCTCTTTTTCTTAGTAATAAATAATGTAAAAAAAATTAATTCATGAATAATTCATATTCAAATTGACTGCAAATTTTTACCATTGTATGAATACGTACTTACTTATTTAATTTTCCTTGTCCAAGATACATAATTTTCATCCCTGCATCGTGTATTATATGTAAGGTGGTGCTCCTGCACTATGAGATGTCATTGTCTTGAAGACCCTACGTAATTCATTGTTCACAATCCCATGAAAAATCATTTGATTTAAAATTCCAGGGTTGATGGAAAAAGTACAGTAAACTGTTTCTTCGCACTCTCCGTCAAACGCGTAGGCTCGTTCCACCAAGTCTTCGTCAAATAGAGGCATGTCTTTTCCGAATGTCGTCGAATTGAGCCATATCTTCTTCGTATGTCGTCGAATTGAGCCACGTCTTCTTCGTATGTCGTCGAATTGAGCCACGCCTTCTCCGATTGGCAGTCGAATAGCATAACTTAACTGATATTTTCTTTCGAACCTTTCGACCTTCTTTGAAGTTGCCTTTAATATTTCGTGTCAAACTCGCGGCCCGAGATGAACATATTTGCGGCCCAGTCAATATATCCGACGCAGAGTAAAAATAAAATAGAAATGTGAATTAGAAATTTTGAAAGTAGTCTCGGCCAATAAAATTTCTCCCGAAATAAGAAAGATAGTATCAGAGAAGAGATGTCAAGTATTAGGACGTAAACAATAATTTAACTTTATATATGTTTATTACAATGTACTAGTCAAAATAAAAATATTTGTTTCTATGAACATTGATTTTTTTTGCGGCCCACCTAAAGTTAAGCATTGTTTATTTGGCCCAAGTTAGCTTTTGAGTTTGACACCCCTGGTCTAAAGCAAGTCGTATTTGGTACCATTTCAATTGGAAAAATCCGACTAATATATTAAAATAATTATCATATATAGGAAGTTAGAAAAAAGTCTCTCTCCCTCTCTCCCTCTCCCCCCTCGCATCCCTCTCCTTCTCTCTCCCCCTATCATCCCCCTCCCTCTCTCTCTAGCGAGATGTCGGCAACTGTAATCGGCAGTGTTTTATAACAATTTCGACCCAGCGACATTTAGGGAGAAATTATTGTACTTAAAATGACCTCAGAAAATACGATGATTTTTGGACATCCTGTATATTGACTTCAATCTTTTATGTAAAAGTTATACGCCACACATTATTCAGATCTGCGATAAATCTCTTAAAATAATCAGATTTTTGAGAGAAACATGATAAAAATGTAATCTAAGAGATAACTAGGGGAAGTCCAAATAGAAGGAATTAGACTTGCGATGGAACACAGAAAACCTACTCCCACCAATGTTATTATGGCAGAGTCTAGAACTGTGTACCTTGAACATGGCGTCATTTGTCTGGACTAAAAATACCTGTTAAAAGTTATCGTCATTCACACGTACCCTTTTCATCATACGTTATTAGGTTTCTGTGAAGCGTATACAGTTCAGAAATTGAATCTGATATGAGAGAATCGCGTGGGAAGAATGGTAAGAATAAGTAACAGGTGAATAGATGATAATGAATAGGTGATAAGTAAGGGGAAGAAGTAAAAAAACTAAGAAAGCAAAAGTAAAGCCAATTGCATTTAGTTTATTTTGTTGTAGAAATGTCAATAATTTATGTTGTTATTGTTTTATGTATACACTTTACTTTGTGTTGAACGATATTATTTATAAACTTGATATAAAACTCTGAATAATACACATTTTCCGTCACGTGCTATCATCATCGTGCTTACAGTTTATATTATCCAGCAAGATATATTATATGTTTAAATAAATATTTGGTAACTATTTGATGAAGTGAAATGCCATAACATTAATAGAACGTGTTATGACAACAGACGCATCATGAAAATTTTATAAATACGTCTGAATCCATAATTATTGATTATTGAAAATTGTGTCAATCGTGCATGTAAGATAACCCTTTCTCTGCTGCACGTTTTCCAAGATGACTTCCTACAATTCCACCGCCAATTCCACCTGTGACTGCACCTATTACAGCACCAACGGGAGCACCCACAACTGCACCAACAGGACCAAAGCACGAACCAACTGTAACTCCAGTATATGTACCAGCCAAAGCACCACCACCACCAGCTAATGCACCACCACTCCAACCACCAGCTACAGATCCAATTGTTTTAATAGTGTTCACTGGAATATTTTTCTTTAATAGCTTCACGTCTTTAATAAATGCCTTCAATAGTTCTACAGCATTTTCTATTTGCTCTCTCATTTTTGAAGACTTTTCAACTTTAAGAGCTTCTTTCAATTTGTCTATATTGTATTCGCAATCTGCGATTATTTCGTCTGCTTTCTCGCTTGTATCGATATCATTTTTCAACGCAGAACCAATATTCCAAACATCCACAACTACAGCAGCTACAGTTAGCCCAGCACCAACATATTTCAAGACGTTGTTCAATCCTTTGATATTTTTGACGAATCCTTCGGTCACTGGAATATGTGGATTATTTGCACTAGGATAGCCACGTGGATCGATATTAATATGAGGGCTTGTCCTTGTGTTTAGGCCAGTATCAACGCGTATTATCGGTCTACCTGTATACGAAAAATGTTTCCGTGAAATGAATATTTTTTATGTATAGTAGTACACATATAGTTGATGTTACATCGATTCGGGGCCAGCGTTCCCGACCGAACTCTTCAAAACCTATAGCATCGATGAATAACTGAGATTCTTCTAATTAAAATGAATCAAGACACAATATAAGTTGGATTCATATTTAAGCTATTCCTGAATCAATTAATAGGCAATCTACAGAGCGAATCGCGTAATTCGAATACCTCGAACACCTTTAAAATTATGGTTTCTATGAAAAATTGTTAAATAAGCGATTTCAAAGATTAGTAGATGTTCTTGTATGTGAAAGAATTATCAAATTTTCAAGATCAACTAATTTAAAGTTAAATTTAAAGATCAACTAATTTGTGCTATGCAAGTCACACATGACTCACCACTCTGCATGATCGTGTTTGATCAAGAAAATCTCGGTTGTCCATTGATGCTACAATTATAAAAGTAAGATGAAAATTACTGATAATACCATTTTCTTTATTACATGTTTAGTCTGTCCAGGCGCTGTTGTATCCCTACTGGCGTACTCCCCGTCCATGAGAAGATGACATAGGGAAACTTGTAGGCATCTATCCCCCACCAGCTGATATCCAGTCTACATACTCTAGACGGACTATCCCTAAGAATGGAGTCTCACGGCACCATACTGTCGGCATTTGTGGTGTCATCTTCTCATCGACGGGCAGTGCGTTTGTTCTTCTTTCGAGTTCGAGTCTTTCATTCTGATGGGAGAAGAGTGGGGCTTGATCGCGGAAATTTAAGTATGCCAATTTCATGTAAATTTAAACCTGCATTACTCTAATATTACACGCATACATATACAAGATATCGCAAAACTATCGTACAAACGAGAAATGTGGTCATTTAAGGACCCTTTTTCCTTAGCGAAAATACAATTCGCAGCTTTGTTTACGAAAAATAGTGACCAATGATAGGCGAACGCGGAAATTGCAAGGTGTCCCATCGATCGAGTGCAACGTGCTTCGACCGCGGAACGTGACGAAGGGAGAGGGGCTTCAGGCCGTGTTCGAATCAATGAACAAATCGCACAGCGTGAACTTTCCGATTTTTTTTACACGTAACAGTGATAATTTTAAGAAAAACGCTGTTCATCCTTATTTCAAAATGCCTGAAGAATATTTACTAATTTTTCGGATGCGAAATAATAAGTAGTTTAGCCGTAACAACCGTTTTCATTTTCTGGTGTTTATTAAACCTCATCTGTACTGAAATTTTTATGCAAGGTGTACCGTCAAGATTAACAATAAGTAACGCCGTCGAAAAACGTAAATGACATTTTAATTTAATAATAAATATTCGTGTTAAAGGACGAAAAGGATTTGATTGTTTGAGATATATGAAAAATTTTATTTATAAGAAACTCACTCAGTAGATTTGGTTGCAAATCCACTACGTGCTAGGAAATATGTACATTTTCGTTAATTACTCGTAAACAAAGCCGTGGATTATATTTTCGCTAAGGAAAAAGTTACTTCGAATGATCTCAAGAACCCCTAATTTTCCGCTTGTACAATAATTNAACAAATCACGTAGCATGAAATTTTTATAATTTTTTTACCACGTAACAGTGATAATTTTAAGAAAAACGCTGTTCATCCTTATTTCAAAATGCCTGAAGAATATTTACTAATTTTTCGGATGCGAAATAATAAGTAGTTTAGCCGTAACAACCGTTTTCATTTTCTGGTGTTTATTAAACCTCATCTGTACTGAAATTTTTATGCAAGGTGTACCGTCAAGATTAACAATAAGTAACGCCGTCGAAAAACGTAAATGACATTTTAATTTAATAATAAATATTCGTGTTAAAGGACGAAAAGGATTTGATTGTTTGAGATATATGAAAAATTTTATTTATAAGAAACTCACTCAGTAGATTTGGTTGCAAATCCACTACGTGCTAGGAAATATGTACATTTTCGTTAATTACTCGTAAACAAAGCCGTGGATTATATTTTCGCTAAGGAAAAAGTTACTTCGAATGATCTCAAGAACCCCTAATTTTCCGCTTGTACAATAATTTTCGGATACCGTATATATTATACGATTCATTTACATTTGACAGTGTACCCTCAATCTGTAAGCATACGAAACACATCCCATATAGAATATTCTGAACAGTCTGCGCGAATGAAAAATTTCATTCTTATAATTTGGAATATTGTTGTAATTGCCGTACTCTATAGAATAAGTTTCGTCCATGGGCGTGATGCAGAGACACGAATATTGCATTGATTGATATAAAAAAAAGTTTCTTCTACTACGACATTTGACTTTGAATGACCTTCAATCATAGTTTGTTTAAATCGATTTAACACAATAACACAACGCTCCAATTTAAATCAATAGAAACAATCTTGTAACCTTGTCTATGCAATTATCTACTCAAAAATATTACAATATTACAATATTATATCGAACCAATAAATGACCGTGAAAAAATGTAAACCGATCGCAATTTGAAACGACGACGAATTCCACGCAAATCCCCCGAAACCTTCTGCATCAATTAGGTCAAAATCGCACGTTTTACATAAATACTAGGTCATTAAGTATGAAACGCATAGATTTTATAGTGAAATTATCGAGTAAAGTATGCATTTCATACTTAATGACCTAATGCAATGAATCACCACACAACCAACTACCACGTATAAATACTACGTATCCAGTGGAATTACTATTAAAAATAGTTAACAATCCGATTACTACATCCATACATAAAACATTCCAACCTCCAACGTGCCTTGTCAAAGCCCAAATTACTGATTCTCTAAAGTTTCTTTATTACATTGATCCAGAAGAAAATGAAAATCCTACTGTGGTTTCTTGAGGAAAAATAGTCAAGAACAAGAATCTAGGCCGCGGCACCTCTTGCTTCGTAGCCGATCGACTTCTTAAGGTAGCTACGGAAACCTCCCGCTGTTTCGAACCCCACATTCGGCCTGTCAGGTCACAATCATTTCGCCTGTACTCGCAATCTATCTCTGGCCAACTCCCGGCAACAACGTTGTGTACTTAGGTGTGCTCCCCTCCCGCAAGTCGCAAACTCACAACTCAAATCTCACCGCAGCCAACACGTCTCATCATAGTCGCGCTATCTGTCGGGGACCGGTGTTCTCCTTATCCCACTTCTGACACAGGGGAATCCAATCCAGGTTATTTATTATCCATTCCTAATTTCCATTCGCGCCCTACACTACCAAATGCATAGTCAACAAAATCTCGTACTTGTAAAATATATTTGAAAAATAACAGAACTTAAAACTAGAATTAATGTTGCAAACATCTTCGATCAGGATTCAGAACCGGTTATATTTTGGAAAACTGTCCCGTTCTATTATGGTAACATAACATTTATGAAGCATTCTTTCGAAGTATGATAATACATTTCTGTGCGCCTGATACCCTATTAAAACAAAATTGAAGCCCCATTTACACAGTTAGCAACAACTCAACTTAGCCCTCAACTGGCATGATGAGTTTCACAAACATGATTGCTATAGTTTCTTTTAAATCTCGAAGGTATATCTTCTGTTTTAATCTCTTTGCACTTACCAGTAGGTTTTCCATTTCTTATCCTTCCTAAGTTCATATCCCGTATACCGGCTATTGTTTCTATATTTAAATGACGATCCGGGATTCTTTTAAATCTTGTTTGCATCGCTGATCCTGATACTATTCCGTCCATAACCTTCCTGGTTACATTTCCCATTTCCGATTCTTCATGATCCTTCCAATTTGCCATTTTAGAGCTAATGGAAAACAGATAATAAATACACACATTCCGATCGGAATGTGTCGAAGATAGAACCACGTGGGAATTATATAAATCATTTGATATATCTATGTCGCTGCTACAAGCCGCTCAAAGTGCTTTATATAAGGTGGTACTTCCCAAAATCAGCCGAAAAGAGCTTTTGGGGATAGAGCTCTCAATGTGACCTTGATGAAGTTGATCGTCACGCTGTAGTTGTGCGAACAGTCACTAGACGAAGCTAATTACTAATATTTTCGACCGCTAGGGGATGCGAATATACAGGGTGTCCCAAAATTATTATACTTGAAAGTAACTTTTTCCTCGGCGCAAATACAATCCGTCGTTTTATTTACGAGTTATTAACGAAAAACAGTGATCAATGAGAGGCGAGCTGAGCAGTTGCAAGGTTATTATGACAAGAGGGCAGAACGGACTTTGGTCGCGTGGTGCGACTGACGCGTTCGAAACAATGAACAAGTCACGGAGCGTGAATTTTCCAAATTTGTTTTAGCATGTGACGGTGATAATTCTAAGAAAAACGCTGTTCATCCTTGTTTTAGAATATAACTGTCTTATTCAAATACCGTCCATTCTACTGAATCTCCCACCAAAGGCCCTAGCCGATTAAGATCGTAAAAATTGCTCTTAGAGGTTTTTTAATGACTATTTTACCGTTCGATAGCTGATCAAACAAACAAACTCGTTTATGCAAAATTTCAACCCTGTAACTTGTCCGTAAGGGTAGTTACAGTCGTGTTCTTTTAGAGTTCCCGTGGCTCCCCCCTGGAATCGCCAGATATGGTCCAGCGTCCTAAGGTCGCCGTGGAGGTTTTAGTGGGTCGAACCCCGCACTACCCCCCGACCGTTCCCCAAGCGGACCGAAGGTGTCCGGTGAGCAGATTTCCTCCACGATAAATAAAAAAAAAAAGGGTAAATTAGATTGCGCGCTTTTCCGCCCATTTCCAACCTTCGATGTTAAATGTGGCTTATTTTGGACATCAAGCCGTATATTATAGAATTTTTTCAGATTTTTCGGTTGCAAGCTGTGGTTATCAAGAATGGAAAACTAACATATCAATTCCCTGATAAGGTACTATTCCAAGCAGTGCGCTCAATTTTTCTCAGATTTTTCATCCGGTTGGGTCATTGTCAACAAAAAAATTGAAAACCGAATTTGTCGACGTTTCTGCTGTGAGAAAGAATTCAATTTGAATTCTTTCTTTGAAAAGTCTGAAAATATTCTATAATATGCGGCTTGATGTTCAAAATAAGCCACATTTTTTTCAAAATTTTAAATAAGCACCAAAGGGGGGGGGAGTGGATGGAAAAGCGCGCAATGTAATTTACCCACAGACAAATTAGAAGGTTAAAATTTTGCACGGAAAGGTTTTTTGTTGTTCAACTATCGAACGGTATTATACTCATTAAAAAACCTCTAAGAACAATTTTGATCATCTTAATCTAGCTAGGCCCTTTAGTTGATCTTCCGAGATTTAAATTCACATTCTAGCGGGCCCCAGGTCGAGCATAGGAAGTTACAAATTGTACTCACACGTCCCGTGTAGTGTGCTAATAATAAAGAACATTATTACTTGATCGCTGTGATTATTAATACGCAGCTACCAAATACCTTCTGCACCTTTAAATGTCTGTTATATCACTTCCTGTTCCCGGTTCCAGAGACGACAAATGTGAATCTATTGTAAGAAACATTCGAAAGTCTGCGTTCTCTTACAGTTATTTCATTTTGAACTACAATTTGACTATTGCATTGCAATATTATATTGCGTCTTCAAAAAAAAAGAAGCAGAAATACTTACGTACACAGTCAGAAATTTACTGGTTCACTACTAGATTAACACTATACGTCTTCTTAGCTAAAGTAGTTCTGGAAGACTGCAAACTTTTCGATCTCGTCTTATCGATTTATGTTATCTGCCAGGCTATCGCCTAGGTATGGATTGAGGATTTCATTAGAAACACACTCTTTACTGCAATAAAATTTTATTGTGCGCGTCTTTACTTGAATAATTAATAAAATTTAAAAAATTTGAATAATTAATAAAATTTCTTTTTTAATAAAAAAAATGATGTCAACTTGATTTGATCAATTCATTTTTCACTCAATAATGTTATAGCTGATTCCAAGCGAGATAGGTATAACAGCTAATTATTTTATGTGGCCTAGTGTGCGACGCAATGATGTTTTTTTAAGAAATATACATAGTGTTCCATAAATATTTTAACAGCCGAAAGTGGTGGGTACCTGAGATCATTTGTAGTAATTTTTTTCTTAGCGAAAATTCAATCCGCCGCTTTGTTTAACGAAAAGCACTGACCAATGAGAGACGAGCGCGCGAACTACAACGTGCTCCGACCCGCGGAGTGTGACAGAAGAGGGGGGCTCCATGCCGCATTCGAATCAATGAACAAGTCACGGAGCGTGAACTTCCCGATTTTTTTTTACCACGTGACAGTGATAATATTAATAAAAACGCTATTCATCCTTATTTTAGAATGTTTGAAGAATATTTACCAATTTTTCTAACCCGAAACAATAAGTAATTTAATAGTAGCAGCTATTTTAATTTTCTGGCGTGCACGACACCTTATGTGTACCATGTGAAATTTTTAAGCAAGCTGTAGAGTGAAGATTAACAAAGTATGTAAGTGATATTTTAATTTAAAAATAAATTAATTTAAATTAATTTAATAATAAATAATCGCGTTAAAGAACGTAAGGGATTTGTTTGTTAGAGAAATATGAAAAATACTGTTAAAGTAATTATGGAACATCCTGTATATTATCTAATCTAAACTAGTCTTTCGAACCGCAATCGCGGTATAACCTACACGACTGGGGTAAATTTGCTTGCATTTCCGTCTCGTACAATGCGCACCGTACGACGTATTGCCCGATAACAGAAATAGATTAGATTAGTCGGAGTGTTGTTGATTCATCAGGAGTATCTAGTTAGGAGTGTCTATTCAGAATATACTTTCCAGCGATCAGTGGAATTAGAGGAGAGCTTTGCGACTGTAAGCTTAAGAATATTTTTAAAAATATTCTAATCTCCAATGTCAATATATTTTCCTTCTTTTCACTTGTATTTAATACGTACAGTGACTTTTCACTTATAAAACGTGATAATTGTGAAACGCATATACTGAAAGGTATGTACAAGCGGAATAGAAAAACATGAAAAAAATATAGAATAGAAAAATCTAGTTTGAATATTCAAACATGAGTTTTTATTTTCTTTTTTTTGTCATTCGAAGCAATAGCAAAATTAAAAAAAAAACATTCTAGTTATGGTGTAGTAGACTGGTTCCTCTATCATCTAAAAAAAATTCAAGTCATTTAGTTCAGTTCTGAAAAAGTTATTGCGTTTTAAAAGTTATGTCACCGAACATTAATGGGAATCACATTGAAGATGCTTAATGTTCATTGCTATATTTGGTTTCCTCGATATCATTTTCCAAATAACCAAAAATGTTAAATATGGATTAAATTTTGGATGAAAATTAGGTTTTTCCAAAAAAGTAAAATCTTCTTTGATTTAGTTTCTTCCAAATTCGCGTCTCCTCTTTTTATTGTACAAACTTATCAATGGCTTCTTCCGTGTAATTCTACCATGATAATTTTTTCTTCTTTGTACTCTTCTAATGGTCGATTCACTTGCTGTTATATTTAAATATTTTTGAACATCTGATGCCAATTTGGGAGCACTTATTGTCGGATTTTCTTTAATTTTTCAAAGTATCCATTTCTCATTGGTTGCATTCAGTTTCTTATCAGACCTATGTCTGATTTTATTTAATATACGATCCTCTTCCTTGCTTTCTTTTATAATACTTTGGATTGTACTTTTACACCGATTAATAGTTTCACTTAAAATATAATTTAATATAATATAATAATTATTATATTAATAGTAATATTATATTAGTATTATGTTTACAGCTTGAAATTAATAACAGCGCAAGTGTAAAACATTATTGTTTAAAATGGGACGTCTTGAACAATACAGTTATACTTTTTGAAAAATGTGTTAACACTACAAATTCAGACTATTTGTAGAATGTAAAAGTATACTTTGCATTTTAGCGATAAAATCGTGTGTTTGCAGAGCAATAAATTTGTTACGTAAATTCGTTCGCTAATAAAATTATTGAAAGTGACATGTACTGGTACACGCAAGTGTGATTATTATAAAAATCACACGTAAATGTGTCACAAGCTTAAGTGTGGCTGACCGCTACGGTTACAACCAGGCGAGATGGAGCAGAGCAGGATGCCTGCCACTCATCACGTAAGCACATTACCTAAAAACGGTCTCCTGAGCAAAAGAAAAAGATTGGCGCAATTGAGTAATATGTTTACTCAGAGATGGCAAGCCCTCTCCCTCCCAATCGCACCGTAGTCGGCCGAACATGGCTAATCTCGAACAGTTCGACGATATGTTTCTTTCTGAAGCTTACCTGATTATTTATGTAGTGTTTACTTTAACAATAAAATTATAAAGAGTAAAAGTGAATCTGTGTGCGGTGTATAAAATTCGATATGCTTATTTCATTTGTTTTGTAATCAATGAACTCTTTTATTTATAGAAATTGTCTAACATAAAAATGTTATCGTTCGGCGAAGAGTATAATGAAAGAACATCTGGTGTTAGAACGAGAACTATCTTCAATAGCCAGAACCAATCTGTTATATCTTTCCGTGTTCAATCTGAATATAATGCAGGCGAATGGAAAGAAAAGTCAGCGCAAATAGTTTGCGACATTCTGAAAGAGCGTGATGTGATTGTAGTCAGTAAAGGGGACCAACTGATGGATTTGATAAGTGACGATGTCAGGAAATCTCATCAATATTACATACATGTTAATACAACGAAAGTGGAATCACTTGTACCAAAACCAGAATCCAATATAATGCATTATGCCACATGAGTAAGAAAGCTTCCGTTAGAAGTAGTTGAGGATCTCGTTAGCAGTCCTGCATTTAAATTTGGAAATCTGTGGTTTCTCATTCCGTCTACCAATAGCGCGCAAGTGACTGACGATGTGCGTCGACTTACACCAAGCACCTTTGCCAAATTGCCTCATTTATGTAACGAAGCAATTTCTTCTCCCGCAATGTACGATGGCTGCGAAATTTTATGGTTCAACCCTGACAAAAGAACCGCGCTTTCTGTATAAAATGCTTAAATCAAATAAACTATGCAAATAATTTATAGAATAAATAATTGTAGGATAACAATAAAATTCTGTAGTCCTCATAATTGAATAAAAAAATAACAAAACCTTACTGTTCTGCATAATTATAATATGTGGGATTCACAACAGACACACAAAAATAATTGCTGGATTTAAGGTTTATTTGCTATACACTATCTAAATATATTTTTCCATCCACATTTCTCTCATCATATGTGACGTAGAAACATTCAATATACAGATTACATCGATCTAGAGACCCTCTAATAAGAGATATGCAACGAGGGTAAAGTTAGCTCGTTGGGCGTGAAATTTAAATTAAAAGTTGTACTTTTATTCGTACTTCAATGATATTTTACAATAATAATAAATTTTACAATAATTAGTCTATTATTCCTTCGGTAAATACTATTTCCCAATAAGCAATATCGTGATTTTATAAAAATCAATTACTTATATAATACATTATTACTTTACGTAAAGATATGGATATAAACAAAGTAGTTGAAATGTTTTTCTTAATTATTTCATTTACATCTTATTATTTTATATATTAAATGTACATACTTTATTATTTTTATTATTATACAGGGTGTCTCGCAGTACGGAAATGGGAGGTAGCTGAGGTCATTTGAAGTAACTTTTTCCTTAGCGAAAATGTAATCTGTGGCTTTGTTTACGAGTTATTAACGAAAAACAATGACCAATGAGAGACAAGCGCGGGAACTACAACGTTGTCAATCGCTCGAGCGCAACGTACTCCGACCGCGGAATGTGATAGAAGAAGGGGGCTGCGTGCCCCGTTCGAATCAATGAAGAAGTCACGGAGCATGATTTTTCCGATCTTTTTTTACCACGTAATTGTGATAATTTAAAAAAAAACGCTGTTCATCCATATTTCAGAATGTCTGAAAGATATTTACTAACTTTTCAGGCTCGAAATAATAATTAGTTTAGCCGTGACAGCCATTTAAATTTTCTTAAGTGCATGACACTTCACGTGTCGATCCGCAAAGCTAATTCAATAGTAAATAATCGCGTTAAAGAACATGCAGAATATGTTTGTTTAAGAATTGCTAAGAATATCATTAACAGTAAACTCGCCCATTTAGTTGAGGATACATTTGTTGTACGAAATTGTGGGTCACGATGTCGGTGCACTGATCTTGTGCAATGATCTTGTACAACATTTGTTTTAGCTAAATTAATAAGATGAGAAATGGGAAGTAAAGTGATGTATCTCAAAATGACGGTCTGACGGTAAATTTCGGTGATGACCTGTCATCACCAACGTCGTGATAGTGCTACGGCCCTGTAATTTATCGACTTTCTCGCTACATCGATGTAAGGTTAAATGTAACTAAGGTTCGACGGAGTCGGTGAATACATGTGCTGCGGCTCGCACCGCGACTCCTTTGACTTGAATTCCCGAAAAACAACTCATAATACAATGACATAACTTTTTTTTTAATTTTAACATTTTAATACTGATTTCTTTTAACTTATTGGTAATAGTTTTCTGATTAAAATTAGACCAAACATGATATAGTTTGGACAAGTATTTCAAACACGATATAATTTCGATTACATTTATTTACTTAATACTTAATGTCTAATTAATTTGATTCTATTAATGCTGTGATTATATGAGTAAAATACATTGTTACATATATTAATAATAACTGCACATTAAAAAGCTGCATTGACACTGCGCATAATTAGATAAGTGCAAAATTTTATCGACAATTACATATATCTGCATAACTCGACCGAGTTACTTCGCCGTCATCGCAAGATTTAACACGGCTGGGGTACGGGCCACTGAAGACGCAGTAAAGTTCTACGCAGGGTGGAGGTGGCGCGAGGTTCAAACTCCAGAATTACGGGCTGCGATCGAAACATAGAAGCAACAACAACCTCCTGTGTTCCGCAGACATCTCTATTTAATAATAACGGCCCTTTTCAGACCCTCAAATTCATTCTAGCCTCATTCACTCCAGAAGTGATAATGTCAATACGATAATAAAATACTATTTTCTATTTTACCCAGACCTACGAATAACATTTCATTATATTCCCAGTTTTGTTCTTAGCTTCGATAAATGCGAAATGTATAATATTGTATAATTATATATATAATAATGTATAATTATACTATATATAGTATAGTATAGTATAGTATAGTATAGTATAGTATAATATTGATTGTTGGCCGGGTTGGACGAATTTAAAAAATTCTGTATAGATTCATAAACTAAAAACCATTAACTACGAATATAACTTACAGGTTTTTGAAAATTTAATAAAGAAAATTACTTAATAAATAATTCTTAACTCTAATTTTCTAAAACTCTAGAGTTTGAGAATTTTTTTGTAGATATTTACTACATTAAACACTTTGTTTTTCAAATTTCAAAACAGTAAAGATCATATAAAATTGCGAAATTATTCTTTGCTTTCGAAATTTCTTCTCGCACAGTAGAATATTGATGGCTAAATTGTCTCAGCCAACAAGTACCGGGATGGCTGAATTAACAAAATTTTGCAAAATTTTTTTGTAGATTCATAGTGTAGAAACCATTAGCTAAAATGTAGCTTACGGGTTTTCGAAAATGTTAATAATTGTAGAAATGATCGTCGTTTTAAGACGTTCGCAAATACGCTGGACTGTGTGGTCGAGTATTCTATGGGGCGAAAAGTGCAAGTTCAATATCGCGCTACGTGTTTCAGATAGAGTACCAGACATATGGATGCGCGAAAAGAGTAGAATGCATGCACGGTAAAATGTTTGCATTGGTACAAGCTACATTGGTCGTCGGTGTGACTCGTTTTGTTTGTGATTGTGCTCATATCGTATTCTCTTGCTCACTCGCCACTTTCTCTCTTTGCCTAGAACTGTGAGGACAGCATTTTTTAGCTGTGAAGTCTAGCTAGCTTAGTTAGCTTCGCTCACTAAGGGGTGGTACTACTGTACTATGGTGAAGTAGAATTGCTCACTAAGGTAAGGCATGACTGTACATGTCGACAACTCGTAGATCGCTTTAACAGTTTCCAGTGGTGTCTGAGCGTGTCTATTTTCGTCTCTAACCTCAATCATGGCAGTGGGTAAAAATAAGGGACTGTCGAAAGGAGGTAAAAAGGGAGTGAAGAAGAAGATGTAAGTGAATTATAATATGTTTCTTTCGAACTTTAAACCCTCGATCTGATAAAAAGTTAATATTTCGCGGCCTACCTAGCAAGATGCTTTAAATTGAAACAAATTTCGTACACTTGACATTTGAATGTTTAGAATACACTCTACGATTTGAACCTTGCCTTTAACAAAAATTTTTAATTTGAGTGGAAATACGTTAATAACGATGTATATTACATTCTTAAAAATTAATTGCATATTTAAAGTAATATCCTTGGTGTATATTTTTGGTATTTACGTAGGTAGTTTATGCGAACACCACCTTGATATTATCTGATTCAATATATTGATACTGAATGAAATGTCTAGTACGTCGCGTGTAAAACACGACACACAGCTAGGGATTTATGCATAAATTATTTTTATGAGGTTTTTTTACAATATGTATAATTCGTTATTCTAACCTTAAAGAGAAACTTAACCTAATTATGTTTTTCTTATAGCGTTGATCCTTTCACCCGTAAGGATTGGTATGATGTTAAGGCACCGTCTATGTTCACCAACCGTCATATTGGCAAAACGTTGGTTAACAGAACCCAAGGAACAAGTAAGACATTTCAGAAACTTAAATTTACATGCAACTATATTGCTTTAAAGTAATATTAAAGCTAGATGTTGTCACAAATTTTCATAGTTATATTATTTTTTGTTCTCAAATTATTTTTTTGTTAATGAAATTTGTTTTGCATTGTACAGAGATCGCATCTGAAGGTCTGAAATACAGAGTATTTGAAGTCTCTTTGGCTGACCTGCAAAATGATGGAGATGCAGAGAGATCTTTCCGTAAATTCAGATTGATCGCAGAAGATGTTCAACATCGTAATGTGTTAACTAATTTCCACGGTATGGACTTGACCACTGACAAATTGAGGTCTATGGTTAAGAAATGGCAAACTCTGATCGAAGCTAATGTTGATGTTAAAACTACTGATGGCTACCTTCTCAGAGTTTTCTGCATTGGTTTTACCAACAAAGATCAGTTAAGCACAAGGAAGACATGTTATGCTCAACACGCACAAGTTAAGAAAATTAGGCAAAAGATGGTAGACACAATCACCAATGATGTTACAAAGAGTGATTTAAAGGGTGTTGTCAGTAAACTTCTACCAGATGCTACAGCCAAAGACATTGAGAAGGCTTCACAAGGAATTTATCCACTTCATGATGTTTATATTCGCAAAGTGAAAGTATTGAAGAAACCACGATTTGAACTAAGCAAACTGTTGGAACTTCATGGGGACAGTGCAGGGAGCAAGACTGAGGAAGTAGGCGAAAGTGGCTCAAAGGTCGATAGACCAGAAGGCTATGAACCACCAGTACAGGAATCTGTTTAAGGGAGTAATCCTATTTCGAGATTTAATTCTTGGTTCTTCTTGGTTGGTATGAAATGTTACCATATTCTTGAAGTAATGGACACAATCCTAATAAAAAATGACAAAAATCTTTCCTAATCCCAAACCACCCTGAAATTAATTAAGTTGAATGATTATTGCTAATTAACATTACTTCAAATTTTAAGTGAAATGAAATTAATCTTTCTTACATCTGTTTCCACCTTTTGCATCAAAATACGTAAAAATAAGTGTTATATGAGATATTAAAAGCGGCATAGCTGCTGCAGTATAATTCAATGAAATATTTTCATCTAATTTATTTGCTAATAACATCTGTAATAAGTAAATGCGAAATATTATGATACGATTATAGGTAGATTTAAACTGTTTATAAAATCATCTAGAAGCGCTAATTTATAACGAAAAACGAAATCTCATCGCGCACTTAACGATAAATATTTCTGTAAATACTGTTTTTGTAAATAAATAATGTTCCTTTTTTTACATTCTTTTCATTTATTTTACATATCACTCTGCATATAACAGGAAAATGTTATTCCTTTTTTTCAACTTACTTTCGCACGTAGAATCACCCTCTGTCCGATGGTACTACCCGTCCCGTAACAACCTGTATATATACATATACATATATGTATATATCTCTAGCTTTGAGAAAAATCCATGTAATTTACGCGCGAGGTTTTACCTTTGATTGAAGTCTTGAAAAGAGTATTTGCAGATTTATGATTATCAAAAACATTTTGTAGGCCAACTACTTGTAAACTTCGCGATGATCATCGCGTATAAACGCATCCCACCTAAAATCGTTTCATTTACCGCAGAAGTTTACCGTTTCATTTATCGCGGAAGAACACGATCTCTATATTTTCAGTCGAAGAGAAAAAATAATTCCCACCGTTTCACTGTAGGAAGCAATTCTGCCTCCCGACAGTAAGATGTTTTATTCCCACCATACTATTCTCGACCACACAAACCAGCGTATTTGCGAACGTTTTGAAACAACGATCATTTCTACAATTATTCAAATTTTCGAAAACCCGTAAGCTATATTTTAGCTAATGGTTTCTACTTTATGAATCTACAAAATTTTGTTAATTCAGCCATCCCAGTACTTGTTGACTAAGACGATCAGCAGCCATTATTATACTCTATGATAATTTCGCATTTATCGAAGCTATGAACGAAACTAGGAATATAATGAAATGTTTGTAGGTCTGGGTAAAATAGAAAATGGTATTTTATTATTGCATTGGCGTTATCACGTCTGGAGTAAATAGAGCTAGAATAAATTTGAGGCCCTGAAAAGGGCCGGTATTATTAAATAAAGATGCCTGTGTAACACAGGAGGTTGTTTAATTATATGAAAGTTAATAACTTTTAATTATTTTATTTTATTTTTATTTTTTATTATTGTACTTCTAGATCAGTATTAGGTGTATGTATTTTATTCGTATCTTCATTCTCATCATCGCCCGATAGATTGAATTTTAAAAGATTTTTATCATTTTCCTTTAAATACGTATAAAATTTCAACAACTTCCCGATTGCCTTCAGTCGTCTTTGGTAAAAATAGACTACTAGAAAGCGACACCTTAGTAATCGGTCCCCGGCTCGCTCGGCAGAAGTCATCATGCGCGTTCAATGTCTTCGCCTCTTGCAATTGTTGAAAGAAATCTTGAAAATAGACGAGGTTTCGTCAGAAAATTTCGCGCAGAATTGCTGTGCAATTTGCTCTCGAACATTGTTTGAGTCATCCGTCAAGCTACACCCCTTCTGCTATTATGTTAGTGCGCTATGTAGTCCTATAAATTATTTTAGTTATAATATTTTAGAGTCTTTGAAGGTTGTTGCTCTTGCTGTCCATTGTCTCATCGGAGTATCGTGCTTTTAATGTTCTACTCGAGGAGTAGAAGGTAGCCGTTAGAAAGGATTAGAGCAATAGAGGAGGTGTCGCAACATAGGGCACCGACATTTTACATGAAAATTTTATAAATAAAATTATAAATATAATTAATGTCTTATTTTTATTCCGCTATATATGTATATAACCATAATTGTTGTACAAACAGTGGTCTCACAATATTGACGAGCAGGACTGCCGGGAGAGTTTCGGATCAGCTGTCCTTCTAGTGGTACATGATCGCCGCCTTCAGTTGCCGATGTAACTGCTCGATAGCTTCGTTAGCCTGTGGGTGGTAGGCGGATGTCCTGTGGTGTTTCGTCCCCAACGCTCTCGCCCAGGTCTTAACCTTTTAGGCACGACGCGCCACTATAGTGGCTTGCTCTAGTAGCTCACTCGCTCATCGTTTGAACCAAATAATCGTCTTCATATGCATTGTTTCACACTTCTTTTGTCTTCACATCGATTTACAACAGTCTATAGGGTGTCCCAACAATGTCTCGCAATCCGGAAATAGCGGGTTCCTCGGATCATTTGAAGCAACTTCTTCCTTTACAAAAATTTTTTCCGAAGCACCGTTAACGAGTTATTAATGAAAAACAGTGACCAATAAGAATCGAGTACGGCTGACGCGAGGCGGCCCAGCCAACCAGCGCGCGAAGCCCAGTTCCGCTCATTGGCTCGATCGCCTCGCGCCAGCTGAGCTCGCCTCTCATTGGTCACCGTTTTTCGTTAATAACTCGTTAACGGTGCCTCGAAGACAACTTTTGTAAAGGAAATGGCCTGTGGAACCCGCCACTTTCAGATTGCGAGATATTTTTGGGACACCCTGTGTATACAGTATCAGACTCTGTACAGTACACATCAGACTCTCCCGTCTAGAGGAATAGCCTCGCGCAGAATTCAGCCGTACCTAAAAGGTTAAACATGACTGTTTTCGCGCTGGTATCCTCCACTGGAAAAGCTTCTAGCCATCTAGAAAATTGATCTATGGCGGTTACGCAATATGTATACCCCCTTGAGTGCGGCAGGGGTCCAACGTCCGTATACAGAAAAATGTATGAAAAAAGACAGAACATGGAAGTACTAAAAAAAATTGAAATATTACTATGTTGATTACGCATAGCTTCGGTCCTGTCTACCCTAGAGAGCCTGTTCGAAATGTCTGACATTTTCTATCAGGTCGTTTCTTTTTTAGAAATGTTTACAGAATCCGATCATGGGTAGAGTTTTCGTACTGGAGAAAGGACTTCATAAAAATACAAAAATATTGCGGAGAAACTACGCACATCAGTATTTTTTTAAACTTTGACATTCATTTATAGTTACTTAGGACAAACAATTAATAAATTGTATGCCACGATATTCGGAAAATTCTCCTCTATCTATCAAAATAGATTAGAAGTTTCTAACGTTTTCACTTTTCATGCAATACCTCATTTTTGTCGAAAATTCTGGGTTTTTGCACAAGTTCGTTTTTCTTCGAAAACTGAGGAAGATGAAGGAATTTGATTTTCGGATATTAACTCAATATCTCTAATGGTTCAAAAGAGTTATAACAACTTGACAATGAATTTTCTAAATCGTCGCAAAGGTGTAAGATAGCCGGGGAACGGAAAACGAAATGTGATCGCCGTCATCGCAAGGTAACATTCTGCGCAGGATGGAGGTGGCACGAGGTACAAACTCTAGAATTATGGGCTGCGATCGAACCATAGAAGCAACAGCAACCTCATGTGTGCTTCAAATTCATTCTAGCTTCATTCACTCCAGAAGTGATAACGTCAATGCGATAATAAAATACCATTTTCTATTTTACCCAGACCTACAAACATTTCATTATATTCCTAGTTTCGTTCATAGTTTCGATAAATGCGAAATTATTTGTTGCTTACGAAACTCTTCCTCGTAGAGTATAATATTGACTGTTGGTAGGATGATTGAATTTAAAAACTTTTGTAGATTAATAAACTATTGGCTACAAATGTAATTTACGAGTTTTCGAAAATTTCAATAATTGTAATATACTTAATAAATAATTCTTAACTTTAATTTTATAAAACTCTGAGTTTGAGAATTTTTTAATAATATTTAGTCTTTCTAAGAGGATATGAATGCAAGTTTCAACTTTGTTTTTCAAATTTCAAAACAGTAAAAATCATATAAAATTGCGAAATTATTCGTTGCTTTCGAAACTCCTTCACGTACAGTAGAATATTTATGGTTAATTGTCTCAGCCAACAAGTACTGGGATGGCTGAATTAACAAAATTTTGTAGATTCATAAAGTAGAAAGTATTAGCTAAAATATAGCTTATGGGTTTTCTAAAATTTTAATAATTGTAAAAATGATCATCGTTTCAAAACGTTCACAAATGACCGCAAGCACGGTAAAGCGAGACAAGTTACATTGGTTGTCGGTGTGACTTGTTTCATTTGGATTGTGCTCTCTTCCTCTCTTTGTCTACGACTGTGAGGGCAGCACTGTTTAGCTGTGAAGCGTCAACTAATCAGGTTTCTCTACCTGCTTCATAATTCTAAACCGGTTGCCCCCGCTTGGCTTACTATTGTGAGACACTACTATTGCATACAGATGTGCAACAATCATACGGTCGTGATTCTCTTGAGTAACTATCGTCAAGCTATACTAGCTAATTAGTTTACTGTTTACTTTAGGTTTAAGTTACAAGAACCTCGTATGTTTATACTACAGTATGGAAAAGCAGTCTTCGACTCTTTGTTCGCATTTGGACCTCTTAGAATTATTGTGAGCCTTTCTTATCTAGTAGACGATTAAAAAGATAATTGATTCGCAAAGATAATTGAGATCTTAGACAAATTATGTAATAACAATAATAAATTAGATATTTCTAATATAATCTTTTGATTTTTCAAACCTGTGTGTCACATAACATTTGTATGTTACTGTAACCAAATCATATGCCAATGTCTGTTATGGTTAAAAAGTTATACAAAAACGGCATCATTATATAGAAAATGATGTTTTTTAAACGTGTTTATTAATGTAACATATGAACACATATACTCTTATAAAGAGCATTTTATACAAGAGCAACTAAATATGTATATGGTGAGCTATACAGATCTCCACATTGTAAAAGTATTGCAATATACAAAATAAATTCACTATATAAGTTAAATAAAGAGTGGTTTCGACAGTATCATGGAAACTTTTAATTTCTATTTATTGTTTTTGTTCTTTCAAATTTTTTTCTATAGCTTCTTTTATTTTGTTCACACCATTGCATGCATGATCAGGTAGGTTAGAAATAAATTTCATTGAGCTCATAACACCTCTGTTCCAATACATTTTTGTGCCATTTACTATGCAATTTATACTAGGTAGATGTTCCACCTAAATAAAAAGAATTTAATAATTAGTATTGTGAATGATACATAGAATATCTACAATTCATTGTAGAAAGTATAAAATTAAAGGTAATACACTAAATGCAATGTATAATAATAAAATAAATATTACATTACCTGAGAGATTATTTCCCTTGGAGCATTGTGTTTAACATAAGGAGCAATACTGTTATATAATTTTCCATACAATTTGGCTGTATCTTCTGATTTTGACCACAAGCCTTCTTGACAGGTGTAATATACAGTTCCACCAACAATTGTGGTCTTTACTATAAACCTGAGAATATAACCCTTAAATAAATTTCAGTTTTATTGTGTATACAAAATATCGTAGAATACCATAATCGCTCTGCGTCCTTAAATTTTAATTCTCGTACTAACCGGATTAGGCCCATTATAAATATAAATTACTTTGTAATGATGTTGTTTGCTCCTTCTTTTATTATATGAAAATCTCAAAATTATGTAAAGCCACAGACTAGATATAGAGACAGATTAATCACCGTATACAGCAGTGAAGTTTGCGGGAGATAATCGGTGTCTCCACAGTGGGAAAGTGTGGAACCAAAGCACGATTATTGCAGCACAGGCGAGGTATAGGAGTAGACTGGACATCTGATGCAGTGTTGTAAGGTTTGAAGAATTTCTGTCTCAGCGCTGTCGATGGTGGAGTGCAAGACTGCTACGCATATGCCCTATCTCATGATCCGTACTTACGTAAAATCGACGCTTTGGATTATGATCCGGCTAGCTATAAACTATTCAGTTTAACACTAATTATTAGTAAAGTATACGAATCAATAATAAATGTTAACATAATAAACCTCTGTAAAAAAAATAACATAATTCCGGGTAGATAATTTGGTTTCAGATATCAACACTCCACTATACCCACAATTCATAAGCTATCTTCAGATATAAACAGACATATGCATGAAGGAAAATCAGGAGGTGCTGCTTTACTAGACATGGAAAAAGCTTTTGATTCTATATGGTTGAACGGTCTGTTATATAAATTAAACGAAAAACAATTCTGATCAAAGACATGATATACAAAATGCATAACAAAACATTTAAAACGTGGGATGGTACCAATACAACAAATCTCACATTTAACACCACTGATGGCTTACAATGACTTATATCAATGACTTATTAAATTTACATAATATCAATAATAATAATAACATAGAATTACTTGCATATGCAAACGATATAATTGTATACACAGCTGATAAATATCCAAACAGTATACAAAATCAATTACAAACAATAGTTGAAAAAATTAGTCATTGGCTGATAAATTAGAATGTAAAACTAAACCCAAATAAATGTGAAACAATACTTTTGAGGAAAACACTACGGCATCTTTAAAAAAAAAACAAAAACAAATATTTAAAAGCTTCCCTATAAAACTTACAACACCAGGTACAAATAATAAAGAAATAGTGGCACATAAAAATAATGTAAAATATTTAGGATATCATATCGATTACTTTCTAAGAGGAAACACAACACCACACAATACAATTAGAAAAAGCATTCAAGGCATACAGAACATAGAGTAACATATTCCATAACAAACAGAGCAAAAATAATCATATATTTATTGCTAATAAGACCAATAATAACTTATGTTGCACCAATATGGTGGAATACAGGGACATGTGTAATTGAAAAATATAAGGTATTAGAGCATAAAGGTCTACGAGCATGCCTGAATCTTTATCGAACTGTGAATACTGAATACAAATATTATCATAATAATAAAACATTATGCAATAGTGCTAACATTAACAGGATTGATAATTTTATCATCAAAACTTACAGAGATTACTATAGTAAACTACCTCTCATTGAAAACAAAGTAATTGAAAGTTGGCATAATACAAAATGAAAACAATATTCTTTTAATACTATCCTTTAATATTTAGTCTCCACTGTAAAAGAATTGAAACAGATAAGAGAATCACGATAAAATAAAATAATCACACAATACATTTCGAAAACTTTGTATAGTCAAAAATAATTTTCAGAAAAAGACTATAAAGATTTCCATAGACTTGACACAAAAGAATATTGGAGGTCAACGAACCAAAACATCATAACAGACCTCAGAAGGAGAAAAATGCGATAAATAGGAGGACTAAACATACACGACCCACGTCACTTTAGTTTGTAAGTAGTATTAAGTATTGGTAATGGATGAAAGGATGAAAGAATGAAATTGATAATCATAATATTTTGATATACATTGATAATCAATATTGATAATTACCATCTATATAAATAGATTATTAGTGCAATAACTAATTAGTTCCTATTGAATTAAACAAATTAAATTAAAATTAAACAAACCTAATAACCAAATATTAAATTATAACTATTTTTTCACATTTTTTAGACACAATTCCTCTAAGTTAAGGACATAAGTTAAACATTTATATAAAAAAAGAAATATCTATTGTTGAATTGATTTCATTATATTGTATTATTTCTCGCCGCGATAAAACTAAAGATCTGTAATAAATTTCAAGGAATAAACATTATTCTTAAAAAGGTGAAGAAAATCAAACGGTATTCCCAGATAAATTTCGGATAAATGGATAGAATGGTTTGTTCAAATAAATAGATGGAATGTGTACAATGATACGTTTCTGCAAGCCTCTCAAGGCGCAGCGCGCCCCGTTAGTGAGAGTATGAGTAGAAATTGCTTTACTCTCATTGGTTGAAGATTCAATGGTAAAACAGGATTCATTGCGCATTGGATATGGAGTAAAATGGTAGGGATGCTTGTATATATATATATATATATATAATGCTTTGTACAGCAGTACAAAGCGTCATTTTGAAATGTACAATGTAATGTTACGTGTCCATTTGAGAACTTTTTTCGATAGATTCGACAATTGCTTTCGGCAGTACTCTCACATTACGTATCCACCTACGAGCAACTTTAACAGTTTCGACTTTCTGACAACTTACTACAGTAATGAGTTTCTACTCTTGAACATCACTAGGCCGCAGCTTGATTCGTTAGCAGGGATCCATATTGAAATTTTCTTTGCTCTAATTGATTGACGATTCACTGCTGAGACAGAATCCACTGCGGATTGGATGCGCATTAAAATAGTGGGGATGTGCGCGCCCGCTTAGGAAGTAAAAGAAACGTGCAGAAATAGGTCCCATTATTGTACATATTCCGCACTCGGTGATAAAAGACGATCATTATATGCGCAATATTCCGCTTACGGATGCAAATGAGTTAAAAAGTACGTACTAAAAAAACAAGAAAGGAGACAAACATCAGCCAATCCGCATCCAGTAAAAAGAGACAGGTACTGGTACTAGCCAATTAGAGTCTAACTAAACTAAAACTAAAAATTAGAAAGAATTCGCAGATCCGTATCCACTGAAGATAAGCCTATGTTCACACTCTAGTCTGTTCGTTTATTTCCTTTCTAGCTACGAAGCTACGGGCGAAATTAAATCGTGATTAAGGATACCGGAAAACTTAGTGCTTGAATTAAACAGCTTTCTTTTTATATTCGCTTTCACTTTAGCTGCTCTACAGTTTTTAAAATGTATTCATTTTCATGTCACTTGTAATTGCTTTTTGAAATTTTTTGCATTTCCCAAAGTGGAGGGTGAAAATCATATTTTGTCAAATCGAAAACTAATGGAGATAATTTGGTCAGTTAAAAAAATGTTAAATATTTCGAAGCATTTTATTGTCGACGGAATTTTTATTATCTATGCAAAATATAAATGTTGATGTAGATGTTAGATGTAATGAACAAGTATCTGATGGGTAAATTTTTTTAAATTGTATGTTAAGTAAGGAATTGAAAGGTATTATGTGAAACTTCAGATGTCTTGTATCCTATAGAAATTGATATTCTACAAAATATTTAACATGCATATAACATACCGAGATCTACAAAACACGTTTTTAAAATTTTTGTTATAGGCTCAGATAAAAAAGTTAAAAACC